TGAGCAGAGATGTAAGCAAAACTCATCTAATAAGTGTGCTTTTAAAAGTAAAAATAAAAACAAAACCAAAAAAATTACATAATAATAGTCTATTTGAAACACTTTAAAAATCACATAAATCAGTGCTTATTGAATTTTATAGGTATGTGTATGTGTGGCAGAAAATTTGAAGAGAACAAAAACTAACGAGTTAGGAACACCCTTTTTTTTTTCTTTAATTTCTTTAAGGCTGCTATATTTTTAACAAGGATATGAAATTAGTGTTTGTATTTTTTAATTTTTATTACTCAAACATTGATGAGATTATTCCATGAAAACACAATTCTCTTCCCTTTATTAAAAGAAAATTACAAAGAGTGAGATTCTTCTTTTTAATGTTTACAGTTTACAAGGTCAAGTTCTCATGCTGGGGTAGATAGAGGTGGTTCATCTCTAACTGAAGGACAAGTTACAATGTATTTTAAAGAAATGATTTTAATTTTTTCAATAAAATCATAAAACTTAAGTATGTTTATTATTTTCTTTATAAAAGTTAATAGCAACAAAACTTTTGTGCTTAATAATATATTTGAGGGAAGTGTATCACTCTCTTTTAGGGAGTCGAGGGCCAGAATTAAGTAAATATTCTAATGACATTACATTCTATTTTTAATAACTTTAATAAAACGTCCTTATTTGGGATATTATGCTTTAATAAGTACAGAGAAATTATTTTTACAGAAGTATGTGTCCTTTCTGATTTTATCACCACAGTTTAAACATGTTTAGAGAATGAGAGCTAAAGATAATAGCATTTTAACTACAAAAAAAACCCCTGGGGCTTCCTTGGTGGCGCAGTGGTTGAGAATCTGCCTGCCGATGCAGGGGACACGGGTTCGTGCCCCGGTCTGGGAGGATCCCACATGCTGCGGAGCGGCTAGGCCCATGAGCCATGGCCACTGAGCCTGTGTGTCCGGAGCCTGTGCTCCGCGACGGGAGAGGCCCGCGTACCGCAAACAAAACAAAACAAAACAAAACCCTGAAAGTGTATAACTAGTCATTCAACTGATACCATCTTCACCTTCTACTTTGGCTTTATTCACAGACAATCCAGTTATTTTCTACTTACTCATCTTGACTCTGTTAAATTTAGAATCATTAAGACATCATATAGGTAGCATCCACTGTATTCAAATGCAGTGTATTTCAAATACCGTACCAAGACAGTGTGGTATTGGTGAAAGAACAATAGATCAGGAAAGGCAAAAAGGTCAATAAAACAGAATAGGGAACCCAGAAATAGACTCATATAAGTATAGTTAATTGATCTTTGACAAAGGAATGAAGGCAATAGAGAAAACATAGTGTTTGAACATTTGAACAACTGGACATCCTCTTGCAAAGAAATGACTCTAGATACAGACTTCATACCCTTCACAAAAATTAACTCAAAATGGATCACAGATGTAAACGTAAAATGCAAATGATAAAACTCCTAGAACATAGGAAAAAATCTAGATGACCTTGGGTTTGTCAATGTTTTTTAAATATGATACCAAAGGAACAATTCATGAAAGGAAGAATTCATAAGCTGGATTTCATTAAAATTACAATTTTCTGTTAACAAAGACACTGTCAAAATAATGAAAAGGCAAGCCACAGACTGGAAGAAAATATTTCAAAAGACATATCTGGTAAAGGACTGTTATCCAAAATACATAAAGAACTCCTACAACTCAACAATAAGAAAACAAACACCTCAGTTAAAAAATGGGTTAACATTTTTTAGACCTTAACAGACACCTCACCAAAGAAGATATACAGATGGAAAATAAGCATATGAAAAGATGCTCCATAATGTATGTCATCAGGGAAATGCATATTAAAACAATAAGATACCATAACACACCTACTAGAATGGCCAAAATCCAGAACACTGGCAATACCAAATGCTGGCGTAGAGCAACAGGAACTCTCTTTCATTGATGACAGGAATGTCTTCCA